GATTCACATAAAACAGGGGTATAGACAGACAAATCCCTCTTTGGCTGATCAGGACTGAATACCTCTAAAATCCCCAGTCTCTACAATCACAAGCACACATATGCTGACCACAGCCTCAAGTACCAACACAGCCCCCCTCCTCATCCGCTATTACTACATGGATCCTACCTTATTCACTTTGAAGATCTCCTGCTTGCTGGCTTGTCCAGCTTGATGCTCATTAGCAAACAGATGCACAACTCACGTGCTTATGAAGCACACTCCATGTGCTTATGAAGCTCACAGATCCCTCTAAACACCAGTATGGAGCCTCTGCAAGTCCAGTAGCCCTGCATGGACCCAGAAAAAGCTGGAACTCCAAAGGTGTGGGACCTGCAGAAATGCTCCCTAGAGTTACAGTCCTTCCAACTACTGACACAGACATCCTCTCACTTCAGTTGCTGGTACCACAAGATGCTCTAATAACAGATACCCTTACACTCAACACACTCCCCAATTTTACTGCTGGAAACAGTGTCCTGGAAATGGTGTTTCATCACTGCCAATCATCTACATAGTACACACTGTAGAGTAAAGCACACCTTTATTGGTACCAGGAGCACGTAGGCATTCGAACCTCCATGTATGTGTCCGGCGAGTGACAATTTTCACGGGGTTTTACACCCTTGAACAAACAACTTACAAAGTTTTATCTTAAAAAGTCCATTCATACAGAGTACAGTTTGTGGTTTCCTTATCTAACGGTACATCTGGTTACCTATTCTTCTACTTACCATTATATAGTTGATATAACCACAAATATCTTTTAAGGCCAATACATGACCATTCTTCTATGATTACTGCTTGTTACATGCCAAGCTCTTCTCTTGAGCTCACATCTCACCCTGTCAGTAGGGCAGGTCCCTATTTGCAAGCGGTTACAAGCTAAACTAGTGGTTCCATTTTGCAGCCATACTCATGCCAAGTGTAGTTAAGTGCTGTAGGCCCTAAGCCTCGAGTCCTTGTTTTAAGAAGAGTCTAGGTGAGGCTGGATCCAATTCTAGTCTCAGGCTTGGACAACAGTTTATGTCTAAAGGATTATACAAGGTGTAATTGATTCTTTGTACAACTTTGTCCCGCAGGATAAAGGATGGCAAACAAAATATATTTATAGTATTTATTTATACTTAAAATATTTACATCAATTGATGATGGCAATGATTAGACTAAAGGACTCGAATGAGAATTATCTAAATTATCTACTGCAAAACATAGAATCACAGAATAACTGAGGTTGGAAGAGACTTCTAAAATGGAGTCCAACCATTAACCCAGCACTGCCAAGTGCCATATCCCTAAGCAACACATCTACACCTCTTTAAATACCTCCAGGGTTCATGACTCAACCCTTCCCTGGGCAGCCTGTTCCAATGCTTGACAACACCTTCAGTGAAGGAAGCTTTCATAATATCCAGTCTAACTGGCCATTTTCCCCTGTTCTATCGCTTGTTACCTTGGGAGAAGAGAATGGATGCCCCCTGACTGCGATCTCTTTCAAGCAGCTGTGGACAGTGATAAGGTCTTTCCTGAATCTCCTTTACTCCAGGCTAAACCCCAGCTCCCTCAATCACTCCTCATCAGACTTGTGCTCCAGACCTTTCACCAATTTTATTGTGCTATTCTCTGGAGTGGCTGCAGCACCTCATTGTCTTTTCTGTAGTGAGGGACCCAAAACAAAACAGAGTATTTGAAGGATGGCCTTAGCAGTGCCAAATGCAGATGATCACTGTCCTGGTCCTGCTGGCCACAATACTCCTGATACAGGCCAGGATGCCATTGGTCATCTTGGCTACCTGGGCACACTGCTGGCTCATGTTCAGTTGGCTGTCGACCAGCACGCCCATGTCCTTTTCCACCAGGCAGCTTTTCAGCCGCTCACTTCCAAGCCCACAACATTGCATGGGGTTGTTTTGACCAAAGTGCCAGACCCAGCTCTTCACCTTGTTGCACCCATTGATCCACTCTGTCTAGATCCCTCTGTAGAACCCTTCTACTCTCAAGCAGACCAACACTCCCATCCAACTTGGTGTCACCTGCAAATTTACTAAAGATGCATTTGATTCCCTCATGCAAATTGTCATCAGATATTAACCAGGACTGGCCCCAACACTGAGCCCTGGGAAACACCAGGTGACCAGCCACCAGCTGGGTGTAACTCTGTTCCCCCTCACTCTCTGGGCCAAGCCATCAGCCAGTTTTTTACCCAGTGAAGACCGCACCTGACCAAGCCATGAGCAGCCAGTTTCTCCAGGAGATGCTGTGGGAAAAGGTGTCAGTGATTTTACTGAAGGTCCAGGTAGACAACATCCACAGCCTCTCCCTTATCTGCTAAGTGGATCACTCTGTCATAGAAGGATATCAAGTTGGTCAGGCAGGATCTGCCTTTCTGCTGGCTGGTCCTGATCCCCAGGTTGTCCTGTGTGTGCCATGTGATGTCACTCAAGATGATCTACTCCATGACCTTCCTCAGTGTAGAAAGCTATTAATTCTATTAAACTGCACTATTTATTAAATCATTATTTTCAAAGCCAGCTTGATAATTATAAAGGAGAGACTGATGTTGCTAACCCATACTTACGACCATGGGCAACATCTCTTTCAGTCAGCCCTGAGGATAACTTTAAGAAGCATCCCCACTGAAACAAAGAATCTCTACACACACTCCTAGAAGGGGTGTGCTAGAAATCCCTGCCATTAAAAAGTGGGCTTGGGCTTTTATAGGATGAAGTGATTGACTGTCAGTACTATGTTGTTAGGCTGGCCATGCTAGTTCAGCAGAGTAATTCATTTAAAATAATTTATCAGTACTACCCCTCACTGGTTCCTCTATGAGGAAACATCTGTTAGGAAACTGGTTTCTTCACATCCTCATATTGTTTAATTTTGAGGTGTTTCAGTCAGGCTGGTCTCAGCATTCTTCAACACCAAGAGCAGCATGACCACCCTCCCTTCATCACTGGCAATTTTTGCAAGTAGGGTGATGTTCAAGCTGTTTCACCCCCACCTAAACAGAACATCCTGCTGCACTTACATGTTTCCAAGTTTAGTACTTATGTTAAAAATCTGAAATTATGTTTCAATAAGGATGTTTGAGGCAGGGCTACTGCTACAGATTTCTACTTATCACACTTCACAGCAACAACAGTGAAGTGTAGAGTAATGAGGAGATGCTTCAATCTTTGAATGTGCCTTAAAACTTAGAGGGAGCTTGGAAATTCTACAGTTGAGAAACTAAAATTATGTAATTCAATTTTAAAACTTATTCAGAGACAGCACAAAAATAAAAAAATAAAAAAAAAAGAAAAAGCACTTCGTGGCATTTGGCAACTGATCCACAGTCCCACAGCTGTAGAACTGCAGCCAGTAACAATGCCACAAGTGTCATGGGAACTGCGGTCAACAGGGCAAGAGGAAAGAGGTCATTCTTCTCACCATGAATGAGATAATACAGATAAACACCATGCCACATACCAGCAGCCAGAAGTACTAGCTACAGAAAAATCTGAATTTGTCATAAACAGCACCTAACCTGAGCTCAAAGAGATTATTCTGGAAGATAAAAGTGAATTTTCTGCAAGCACTATGGACTCAAGGTATTGGGAAGTGCCATGCTTCACAAGGAATTTTAAAATTCTACTTCCCCATGATATCAAGCAACACATCAACACTGCTCAAAACAAAATGAAATCTCCAAGATTGTATTTGATTGCTTGATGGTATCAACCAGGCATGTATTGCTTACACTTCTCAGGGAAAAACTTATGTTCACTTTTGACAAACAGCTGTAAGCCTGAGAAAGTAATTTTTAAAAGAAAACCAAAAGATTTGCAGAGAAAAGGCATTAATAACAGAGACAGGATTCATCACACAAATTGACCAAATATTCTGTTCAGAAATCTACAGATGAAAGTTTTTCTAATACTACCATCAGAGTCCTTTATACAGGAGTATCCTTGCCTCTATAGCATAGCTCATGTATGTAACTGAAATACATACCTGTATACATCTATAACTTATGCTTTTTTAGTTTTGAGTACCACTATGATGGAAGAGGGTCAGCTAACAATGAAGCAGAGTCAAAAGTTGCTTCTTAGATGGAATGACTTTATTTTAGAAAATGCCTTCAGCTGCAAATTTTCTACTTACCGTCAACGCTTCACAGAAACAACAGTGATACTCAGAGAAACACGCTTCAACCTCTGAAGAATTTACAAGTTCTAAGGCACATTTAAAGAACTTACACCTCCAGTAGTTGTAGACATCCCCTTTTAAAAGTACTGCTCCCTTGTTATTCAACACCTAATGACTACTATTTGGAGAAAGGTTTACAACCGACATGCAGAATACTGGCTGAAATGCATTGAATTTCAGCCATGGAGATCTCTCACATACCAGAAGTGCTCTTTGGCATAGTTGCATTTTATGGAGATCATTTATACCCGGGGTGAAGGCATATTACTAGCTTCAAGATCACAGGAGTGTTTTTAAGAAGTACAGCTTCTCTGGTGAGTGATGAAGTATCCTGCATATGTAAGTTACATTATCAATTCTTCCATTAAATGAGCTTCCTTGCAATTTCTCTAAGTATAAAATCCTACAGCTTTTTCGCTCAATATTTCCACTGCCCAGATGCAAAACTGTTGAGAACTAAAACAGAAACATCCTAGTAACATCTAGCAATCAAATGTGTGAAAAAAATAAAAAATCCATTCCCTGTCAGCAAAGGGAAAGTACTAAGGTTCTGTGAAAAACTGTGGCTGTAACAGTTTTAAGTATAGCTTAGAAAGACTTGAAGTAATAGACAGGTTGAGAAGCTTACATTTTCCCCAACCCTACATTCTTCCTCATTTTTACATCTTCAGTTGCACCAGTCAATGCTACTACTTGTGGTGCTTCAGGGTGAACCAGACTAGACGATAAAACAGCTTCCACAATTTCATTTAAAAAGAAAAATCACTTACTTCAGCAATCTTGTTAGTGTGTTTCTTCAGACAGATGTGGAGCACTCACTGAAAGAACAGGAGGTCCTCACTGGTCTTTGCTCCTAGAAGGGACAATAATCAATAAGCTGCAAGTGCTGCTTTTCCCAAAGGAGCAATGGCCAGTACCAACAATACCACTGGAGAGTCTTCTATGTCCCTGATTACTAATAACACATCAGAAGATCTCCTGGCAGGTGCTGAAGTCCAATTTGCTGTGAAGCAACAGTTTCCTTTTATTAGAGCCCAGAATCAGTTCATGAAGGCAAATCTTAGCAGTCACCTATAATGCTAAAGCCACAACGGACATTTTCACAATTTTCCCTTGTCTTTTCTTTTTTCTTTCCTCTTCTTAAGAGTCACCAGCAGGCTCTGGTTTTTCACAAGCCCTCATAGTTAGCAAACCATCAACAGCTCTAGGAATTAAGATAGTTGAATCACACCTTCTTGGCCTCATGCTGCTTTATTTTTCCTTTGCTGTCTTCAGCGACCCCTTTCAAATTAGGGGGAAGGGAGTATTGCTCTCTGATGATTATTGTCTTCAAGAAAAAGAAGAGAGGCTCAGCATCACACTAACAGGTTAATTACTGCACTGATTAGGATCAAGAAAGACCACAAACCCTGTGACAAACTCTCACATGTCCATCCCACTGCTCATGGCTGCAGAAAACGAAACTGAGCAAGCTCAGCATATGCAGGATTTAAGAAAACACTTCCTCTGCTTGCAGCCCACAGCCAGAAGCCAATAAAACCAGGTAGTGGCTCAAAAGGTCACAGCAGGCAGCTCAAGTGGTCCACTATGGGCAAAAGAACTGCCTGAGGAGCACACCACCCTCACCTGGCCACGTGCATATTGCATCTCTACTCTATGAGAGGTGACTAAGCCGAAACAAAAGGCCACTTTTGATTGGTTTTCGTCAAACACACACAGAAGAGAAAAAAAAAGAAAAAAAAAGGAAAAAAAAAGGGCAAAAAATATTTGGGAAACACCTTTTAGTGTAATTTTTAGAAATGTATAAAATATAAAATATAAAAATATTGTACTACCAACTACTACTGTTGCCTGCAGAAAACATATTAGTTGACAATTTGTTGGCTTTTAAAAAGTGTTTGGAAGACAGCCTCCGGCAAATCAGAGTATTTTACTGATTTACAGCTGTTTTTCTTGAAGATGAGGGGGGAGGAGCAAAAAAGCACCCGTGCTTTAAGTAGAGAACAGAACCGAAACGACAAAATAAAACTTCTAAAAACCTGGCAGACAAGTGAACTGCAGAAACAGTTTTAGCTTCTGTTTAGAAGGAAACCAAAACACCCCATAAGAGACTTGGTATGAATCATGCTGTAATGTTTTCTTCTGCCAAACATCAGACAATACACTGTTTCCTGGGGGAAAAAAATAAATACTGCTTAAGGTTGAAATACAAGGAGGGTTTGATTCTTTAACACTGAAGTGCCTCCGAGCTCACTGCAGTGAGCCACATGAAGACAGTGAACTAATGGTCCCTGGTAAACATCTTCAGAACTACCTCAGTGAGTTTGCCAAGACTCTGTGCTTTGAGACTCAGGGGAACTTTTACACTGACACAGCCACTGAGAGAGTACAGGACACCAATATGAAAGTGATCACTAACCCAAGTCTGTTTTCTCTGCCAGGAATGTCTGTCTCAATGTTTTGGGAAGCTGGCTGGTTAGTTCATGGGAACAGGGTGATAAGAGCCCAGTCAGGAGTTTTTGATGTTGGTAGCAAGTTACTCCCATCATTCTCAGATGCGAGAGGAAGAAAATATTTACCAGGACTCGCATGAGCTAGGTTTGTTTTCTTTTATTTTCAAGTCCTCCCAGGAGGCTAGTTAGGAGTGGGGAAATGGCCAACCTTACCACAGGGCTCCTAGAAAGAGTTGAGTCAACCTCTAACACCTTCTAGGAAAACAACCACCAGCATTCCTATGGGCTTCTGAAATACATCCACTGCTCCAGGGGAAAACCAATTCATGTTCTACCTGATGCCTCTGTTTTTCACTGATGCCAAGAGCTAAGCGTTGATGGGGTACTCGAATTTTTTTCTCACATTTCCATCTGCCTCTGCAGATGGAATAAGCAAGACAATTCTTTTAACTACACTACTCAGACAACTCAGAAGGCAGAAACACCAAATCTATACCTCTTTAAAACCACTTTTTTTTTTATTATTTAGCATTTCATTTTATCCATTCAAACTCAACACAGGACTGCAGGTGTCCCTCTTGCACAAGGCAGAGCACCAGCCCCTTGCCGCACACCTTGTGATGCCTACAGGAAAGGCTGAAGCAAAAAATCGCGAACATAGGACTTGCATCGCAGAGCTTAAACACAAGGGACTGGTATTCCCCACACTGCGAGTCCAGAACCCTGAAAGCTATTACTTTTTTTTCTTTTTTTGTTCGGTTTGGGATTTTTTCCCCCCCTTTTTTCTTTAATATTACCTCTCAATAACATCTCCCTGGACTGCCATACCCTACGGAGAAATACAGTAAATAAACTTCTGCGTCCTTCAGGCGATCGGCGATGGGTGACGCCTCTGGAGCCTGCGGATCGCATTGTCCCCGCTCAGGCACCCGCAGGACGCTTATTAATTGACATTAATCGGTTCTGCGGGACCGATGGGTGCTGCTACGAGACGAGCAGCAAGCTGCCAGCCGAGCCGGACCCCACCGCTCCCCGCACCACCCCACCCCAACCCCGAGCCCCGCCGACCCCGCGGCCGCGCTCCGCCGGGGCCGCGGGCGGCTCCGCGCGGCCTCCCCCGCTCCCCACGGCGCCTCCGCGGCCCAGCCACGGCACCGGCCCCCGCGGCCGCCCGCAGCCCTCCGCAGGGCCGGCAGCTCCCGGGCAGCCGCTCCTCGCAGCCGCCGCATCCCCGGCCCCGCGGCCGGAGCGGAGCGCGGCACAGCACGGTCCCCGCCGCCCCTCGCCGCGCTCCTTTTTCTGTCGCCCTTCCCCTCCCTGCCCGCCGCCGCGCACGTCCTCACCCAGCCCGGAGCCGGCGAGCCTCCCGCAGCCAGCGGCCGTGGGCCCCGGTGGAGGCGGAAGGAGACCCCGGCGCCGAGGTCGGGCGGCGGGGCGGGAGCTCCGGGGCGGGGCGGGCAGAGGGAGAGGCGGTGCCGGCGCTTCCCACCGCCCACTCGGCCCCGCTGAGGGAGCGCCACAAAGGCGGCGGGGGCAGGGATGGGCCGGGAACGTCCTGTGCCTGTGGGTGCAGTGCTGGCAGCGCCGTCAGGCCCGGCTTTCGGTTTGTCAGAGCCCTCCAGGCTGAGCCCCTCCTCCCTGCCTCTTTCCCTGCCTCCCTTCCTGCCTTCTCAGGTGTCCAGCGGGATCCCGCAGCTTCCCGCTGCAGGCGCGTCACGTTTTTTGTTAAGAAAAATACAGTGGCTCTCTCCCATCCTTCCACGAGTTGAGGGACCGGCTGAGGCTTCTGTTAGAAGAACTGAGGGCTGAACAAGGCCCTGTAAAAGCTAGATAGATGGGAAAAAATGTTTGAAAGAAAACATATTCGAGCAGTACAATACCTAAACATTATCTCACAAAATTACCAGAAGGCTTAAAAGGTCTAAGTTAAAGTTCTGAACAGGTGACAACACTATACTGAATAGATCTCACCTGAATCTCGTATCCTGAGTAGCAGTTAAGGGTACAAAGCTGATTATATAACTGTATAGTAAGGGAAAGTAATTTTTATTAAGCTTTATAGATAAACTGCGTGCTTACACAAGCATCAGGAAGCATGTCTCCAAGCCGGCTGGTGTGACTTGGAGGATATGGCACTGGCATGTGATGGAGGGCATGGCAGCTGCTGAACCCTCTCTGTCTCACAAGTTTCACTTCATTGCTGACAACAAACTGCCCTTAGATAGGCCTTATGTATACAACCTCCTGGAAGCAAACAGTTGCTGCCTCCGCGTGAGTCTCAGGAAAGGGTTCTGAGTCACGCTCAGCTTTTGTTTTCCCTTTGTAGTTACCTTTTGGCTCCTAGCCGGTTGTCACCCAACCCTAAGGTGACAGGCAGGTTCTTTCCAGGATCCTGGGTAGAGTGAGAACTGGTCACAAGTCTGTAGTTATAATTAGAGCTTTATTATTATGTAAAGATTTTAGCAATCAACGTAGCTTATTGTTACACAGGTTTTCTAGCAATTGGCAATGCTTTCCTATTACATAACATTTCTGTTAACTAGATTGGGCCAAAATTTTAATAATCAGTGCAATCATCATAATTTAGACTCTAACTTTTAAATGTACTTGAGCCACTCACTCAATCCTTGGAGAAAGAACAGTGGAGGCCAATACTCTATCTGACCTGGTTGTCACCAAATGGGTTAAAAGAAAGTTATCCAATAACAATTTGAACTTTTTTATTCAGTTCACTGAGAACACGGGGGATCACTCCTCCCAACATGTTCTCTTAAGCAACAAAATCCATTCATTTTTATACTTTTTTTTTTTTTACATTGATGCCGGATTTTGCCCCAAAAGGCACGGAGAAACTGCTTTAGAGACAAAGTTTGTTTCTTTAAAGCAGGAGGTATTTTATTGCAACGCGTTGGAGAGCTTCCAGGTCTCCCTGGCCATAAAGCTCTGTCGTGTACAATCAGCATAGCTCTTTTATACAGTTTTTGAGTATAGGATTACAACACAATCATGCATATTCATTAAATTGCAACATCTACTTGTAATATTCATATATAGGCGGAGTCTGGGCGGAGTCTTCAATTTGGGGAGATTTCACGGTGGGGGTTCCTGTTGCCTTCCTCTGGGCGGGGGTCGTGTGTGAGTCTTCCTCACTGTAAACTTCTGAACTTTCTTTAGATCTTCTCCTTTTAAGGCAGTTTTTGGCAAACATAATAGGGTTAGGCTGACTTTTGGCTCATCCTAGGATTTGCTGAGTTGCTATCTCTGTGAGGAATGCTGCTATCTCTCAAGGACTGCTCTATCTAGTCAATATGTTCTGTTCCTCAAGACAATTTATGACTCCTTCTTTCCTAATTTCCTAATGTTAAGGTTTTGAAATTTCTCTTACAATTTTGTTTTAACCTTTTATGTTTCAAAGCCTTCCTTAAGTGAGTGGCTTCAACATAAACCCTTTCTTACATTTAAGCTTTACAGTGATTGGTTCCATTACTTATATATCTTTACATTAAAACAATAATTGGTTAATTCTACTTAGCTCTACTGATTGGAATCCTTGATACTGAAATCAAGATGGAAATGGTAAGGGGCTTTCCAAGCAGCATAAAGGGTCCAGTAACATCTTGTTGAGGTTTCAATGGATGCACACTTCAAACACAACACTCCTATCAATCCCATACATTGTGCCTCAGAATTTCCTACCTTTAAATCCCAACTACTTCTTCTATATGATCAAATCTTGATTATTTCATCAGACTATTTGCAACATGGTGAAACAGGATGCTCTGCCTAAGTGGGGGTGAAGCAACTTAGACTTTATTTGCAAAAGGCAGTGGATGAAGAACGGGGATCAGACTGGCTTTGGTGTCGAATGCCAAGACCAGCCTGACTCAACAATCCCAAAGTTAAGCATGCTGAGGATGAGAAGAACAGTGATTCCTGGCAGAAACTGGCACAGGTAAGGAAGTGGCATACAAACTTCCTGATAAAGGAACCAAAAAGTGAAACTACAGATAACTTATCTAAAGCTACTGAGCAGACACAGCTGGCCAAGAAATGTATGAATGACAGTCAATCACTTTATATTATAATAGCCCAGTCCCACTCTTTTTGTTTGTTTAGGTTTTGTGGGTTTGGGTTTTGTTTGTTTTTTGTTTTTTGTGGGTTTTATTTGTGGTTTTGTTTTTTGTTTTGTTGTTTTGGTTTTTTGGTTGTTTTTATTTTTCCATGTAGACAACAACCACAGCCTTTCCCTCATCCACTAAGTGGATTGCCTTATCATAAAATGAGACCAGGACCTGTCTTTCATAAACCCATGCTGTCTAGGCCTGTGTAGAAACCTGGACAACAAGGAGTTAATGCACTTTTATAGCCACCAATAACCACCACTGTGCAAGCTGGAAAAGGATGTGGCTGGAGAGGGGGGTTGTACAGAGGCAGAGCAGCACCTTTCTGGGGCCACTTCCCTGATCTGGTCTGTAGAGACTAAACAACACAAAAAGCAGCACAAATTCAGAGGTGAGGTCAAGAGGCAGGCATGAACTGTTGACCTAAGGACTGAGTCCAACAAAGACCCTCAAAGTCTCCCAAACCATTTCCAGAAAGGTCTGGAATAACAGACTGTGCATGCTAACTCATTTATAGGAAAAGTGAGAAACCTAATCCCAGGGCAGGGAAAACTACCTATAAAAAGGTAGCCCCCAAAGCTCAGGTAGCACCCCCAGCACCCTGGACACCCTGTCAGCTAGATCAACTCTAGACCTAGAACTGATGATCTCCTTTCCTCTCCCATCTGTGCTCTCTGCATCTCTTTCTCTCTTCTCCCCACCTTTTCCTTGTTTTCTTTAATTCTCTATTTCTCTTACTACTAGAAGATAAAGGCAAAACTTATACCACTTTCCATGCCAAGTGTATAATTTATTAGTAAAACTTTGTGAGCTTTTTTGGACCCTCTGGCATTTATTGTTCCTTTTCAACCACAGGCACCTGCAAATCTTCCTCTTAGGAATGGGACATGACAGCCTGATTCCCTGGTTGTCTTGTGTGGGCCATATGATGGCACTCAAGATACTCTACTCCACAACCTTCCCTGGCACCAATGTCAGGCCGGGTCCTCCTTCTGACCTTTCATGTGGGTGGGTATGACATTTGCTAACTTAGTAATTAATCTAAAGGATATAGGGAAGTACAAGGGGCAACAGAAACCTTGGGGGTGGGGGGAAGAGCGGGGAGAGAAATAAAGGATTAAAAGGCTACTCAGAGACTGAGGTAGCACCAGCAACAAAGAAACAACATTGATGGTCCCACCATCTCATAGTAGTCTTCTGGACAAAATGCCCAGCACACAGCTAGACAAGTCCATAATATATTGCATGAACAATTGGCTGCCCAGCTGGGCTCAGAGTTATAGTAAGTGGGGTTACATCAGGCTGGCAGCCAGTCACCAGCAGGGTCCCACAGGGCTCAGTTTTAGGGCCAGTGCTCTTCAATACTTTTATAAACAATCTGGACACACAGGTCAAACATACATTAAGTAAGTTTGCCACTGGTACTAAATTAGGAGGAGCTGCGGACTCCCTCAAGGGTAGAGAGAGATCTAGATTGACTGGAGAGCTTTGGCAATCATCAATGGTATGATATGTAAAAAGAGGAAGTGCTGGATTCACCAGCTGAGACAGGTCAATCCTGGTTATATGTGCAAATTAAGGGATTATAAGGAGCTAAAGAGCACAGTTGCCTGTCTGAAACACTGTTAAGGCCAGAGAAGGAACTTGCCATAAGATAAGATGTGATAGCCATCACACTAGGAACTTGAGATAAGCACAGAAGGGAGCAACAGGAAGGAGCTAATTCCTGGAAGAAGGAGATCTGGTTAGCATATCCCAGTTAATGCATCCAGACAAAAATTCCCACTTTGGCAAACTGTGAAAGGGAAGCAACTGCTCATATGCATATCACCAGTCAAAGAAGGATGACCCCAAGCTATGGGACAGACAGCATCTGTGACCACTGACAACCATCAAAGACCCTCAAAATCTTGGAGGAAACATGCACAGCAAGAGGACACACCCATCCTCACTTGGCATCCAAGGTATTAACAAAAGAAGGATTTATATATTTTTGTGAAAGCATGACTTAAGAGAGTTAAATGGCAAGGCTCACTCTATTGCTACATAGATAAAGCATATAAAGGAAAACTGGATCAGAACTTGTTTAAAATCATTTTCACGGAGTCTGGGATCAAAACGTAAGAGTGCTAAAGGATAAGGGAGACCCTCCTATTGAGTCAATCAGGCTTTATTCAACGTTTTTATGTCTAAAGGATTCAGGAGCTTAATAATTATCTAATTTAACATTACAAAATGATTCAATAGAGTTTACCATAAGCACAGAAGTAACTTAATTATAAACCTGAGTCGGCAATATTCATACTATACTTGTTATAGGGTATTCAAAGCCAGTACATTCGGAGGTACCTGTTAAAAATTCCACCACACCACATCACCACAGCCCCCCCAGATCAGCGAAATACTCATGTGGAATGCCTTTGCATCTCCCAACAGGTGAAAGGCTGAGCTGTGAGGAGTGGGGCTATCAACCCAGTTTTTAGATTTCAGTGACTTTCAGTCCTCCAAGTATTAGAGTTGGCCAGCTCTGAGAGGCATCCACCCACAGTGAGAGGCTGGCACACGAAGCCTACTGAGGTCTAGGAGAGCTCCAAGGGTCTCACTTCAGACTGCTGTTTATAGGGTCACAGAATGCTTGGCTTCAGTCATCTGTCAATCTCCAGGATGATTCAGGCAAGTAATGTTCCAAGGCTGTCAGGGGATGGCTGACTATCTCTTGTCCTTTGTAAGCCAACTGAAGCTCCTGCTGTGGACAGTGCCTTCCTGCTTTAGTCATGCATGAGATAAGGTCGAGGAAAGCTTCATTGCCTAAGTCATTGCTCAAGGCTTAGTCCTAATGAGAATTCCTAAGACTGTAGAGCAGCCTGAGGAAGGGAGAAAATGTACCACCACAGGGAGCAGTGGAGGGAGGGGTGCTGATCTCCTCTCTCTGGTGACCAGCGATAGGAAATGTAATGAAGCTGTGCTTAGGGAGGTTCAGATTGGACATTTGGAAAAAGCTCTTCACTGAGAGGATGCCCAGTCAATGGAATAAACTCCTCAGGAAAGTGGCTGTGTCACCAAGGCTGTCAGAGTTCAAGGACCATCTGAACAACATTCCTTGTCATGTGGTTTGGTTTTAGAAAGTCCTGTGAGGAGCAGGTAGTTGGACTAGATGATCCTTATGGGTCTCTTCTAATTTGAGGTGTTCTGTGATTCTGTGATCTGAAAATCAGTTGCTACAGAGTTGAATATCCTTCTCAACATGCCAACCAGGTTTCATGGGCCCAACATGTGTAATGCAAGTGAGAAACTAAAACTTGTTTCTTTGTTAAGAGAAACTCAAGATCATGCTGCATTTCTCATTAGCCTTGCACACACTCACAGGCACGCCAGCCACAACTTCCCATTACAGCAGAGAAATCAGGAGTCTGTTGCAGCAGATGGGCTTCAGGTGCTTATCCTGTAATGGTTTTCTTGTTGCCTGAGGCTTTTTGGTTTCTTTTCCAGTCAGTGCTTAACCTTTTGGGGATCCTTGACCTTTGCCTTCTCCAGATTCCAAGTTGCCAGAGCGTGCCTCCCAGCCTAGTGCTGTTTGTGTAGCATCCCTGTCCCTTCCTCCTGCTGTGAGACATAGCCTCTCCTTGGTCAAGAGCTGAGTATACTGTGAAAAACAGGAGCTATCTACAACGAGGTGTGACCAGCAGGACAATGAAATTCATGTCTTTGAGTGGAATCCCTCCTCGGGCTGAATTTTCTCATCTTTTATAAGCATAACTGATCATGTCAGATAACTTCTACAATAGAAGTTGCATAACGAAGAAAAGAACTTTGGTTTTCTTATCCTGTAAGGTTCATCCAAATAAAGCAATCTAAGATTACATCACTCAAATAAATATGCATTTGTTAAGCAGAGAATTTGTTAAGCAGAGAATATGTATTAGACAGGTGGGTTTGTGCGAAATTTACTGCATGAAAGTATTTACTTTTTGCCCGTGGTGTGCTTGAATTGTGGGAATCTCCACCTTGCACCCTGCAAAGAGTGAACAATGTCTCTTTTCTAAACTACACTCTATACCTGTGTTTAGAGAGCTCCTAAAATCAGCAACATAAACCAGAATTGGGTGTAATGACCCTGATGTGTGCCATGGCTGAACTTTGGACAGGAGAGCACTTTCAAAAAGTAAGGGAGTCCATGAAACATAATCACCATG